TTTAAAACCCTCTATTCTGCTACAGGAAGCAGCTTTCTTTCCTTGTGTTTCGTCTTTAATTGTACTTACAAAGTTGTAAAATATTCTTAGTACTTTAATGTATTAGATCTTACTGAGACCTCATTTTAAGGAATGTAGCATGATTCTTGTAACACGTTCATATAGCATGATTCTTTTCAAAAGAAAATCTTCATTAAAAAGGAAAATACTAAATTGAATTTTGAAGCAAAAGCTTGTTTTTCTCTAGTCAATATTTTTTATCACACTTCATAGAACTGTCATAACTCAGTAATAGCCATAATTATGGACTTTTGAGAATCTTTGGAATGAATGACAAATACTAAATAGGACATGCCTAGTACTGAAGAGCAACGGTGTCTCTCTGGAGACTAAGGTACATCTGATACAGGCCATGGTCTTTACAATCACTTGTTACACATCAGAGAGCTGGACAATGACCAGGGAGGATAGAAGGAGAACTTATGCCTTTGAGCTGTGGTGTTGGAGAAGAGTATTGAGGGTACCATGGATTGCTAAGAAAACAAACAGATTCATCATGGAGAGGGTTAAACCGGGCTGCTCTTTGGAGGCAAGGATTCTGAGGCTTCATCTGACATAATCTGGTCATGTTGTAAGGAGAGGCTGGTCCTTGGAGAAGGACATCATGCTTGGGAGGGTGGAGGGCAGGCACAGGAGGGGTGGCCCTCTAAGAAGTGGATTGATTCGGTGACTGGGGTAATCAGGATGAGTGTGTCGGTGACAATGAGGTTGGGACAGGACAGAACAGAGTTTAGGGCTGTTGTTCATAGGGTCGCTATGAGTTGCAAGTGACTTAACGGCACATTGCTGTTGTTGTTATATGCCATCGAATTGCCTGTGGCTCATAGCAACCCTATGTAGAACAGCTCTGAAGCCTACCCTATTCTGAGCTAGTCTCGTTGACTCTGTCACACCTACCCTCATTATCCCAGTTACTGTATCAATTTACTTATTTACATACAGTTACTGTATCGGATTACATATCATCCGAGGGCTTCCTCTCCTAAGCTGTCCTTCCACTCCTTCCAAGCATGATGTCCTTCTCCATGAATTGGTTCCTCATGGCCAGGTGCTCAAGGAATATTGCTGTTGTTATGTGCCGTCGAGTTGCTTGCGACTCATAGCAACCCTATGTACAACAGACCTAAACCCTGCTCTGTCCTGGGTCAATCGCATTGTCTCCAGCACACCCATCCTGATTACCCTAGTCACTGAATCAATTCACCTCATAGAAGGCCTTCCCTCCTGCGCTGTCCCTCCACCCTACCAAGCATGATGTCCCTCTCCAAGGACCGGTCCCTTCTTACAACATGTTCAAAGTATGTTAGACGGAGCCTCAGAATCCTTGCCGCCAGGGAGCCGCCCGGTTTAACCCTCTCCAGGATGAATCTGTGTTTTCCTAGCAGTCCATGGTACCCTCAATACTCTTCCTATCCTCCTTAGTCACTGTCCAGCTCTCTGATGCATAACAAGTGATTGCAAGGACCATGGCTTGTATCAGACACACCTTAGTCTCCAGACAGACACCATTGCTCTTCAGAACTTTGGAGAGGTCCCTAATAGCAGACTATCCATTACAATACATCTTTTAATTTCCTGGCCACTGGTGCTGAGAGTGTTGACTGTGGAGCCAAGCAAACGAAAGCTGTGAACAATCTCAATCTCTTCACCATCCATCCAAAGAATATAGAACTTCAAAATCCTAGCCTTCAAGGAGAAACTTGGCTTCACTCTGTCAAAGACAGATTTGTTTTCTTGGTAGGCCATAGTGTGTTCAAGACTCTTCTCCAGCACCAAAACTCAATAGCATCAATTCTTTTCTGGCATCCTTAGTTACTGTCCACATCTCTGATACATAGAAAGTAATTGTGAAGGCTTAGTTTCCAGACTGACATCATTATTTCTCAGTAGTCTGGAAATGTCCCTTACAGTAGATTTTCCCAGTGCAATATAAGACTAATATTGTTTGTAAGCAGTTAACTTTTTCTTTTTCTGGGTAACAGAATGAAATTTCATTTCAAATTAATAGTTACCTAGAGCGCTGGTGGCTTAGAGCTAAGGAGCTGCACTGCTACTTGAAAGGTGAATGGGTTGGACCAACCAATTGCTCAGTGGGAGAAAGATGGACAATCTCTTCTTGCAAGATTTACAGCCTCTGAAAATCCACAGGAGGCTTAGCTATGAATGGTTCTGACTCAATGGTACGCAACAACACATTGTCTTAAACTTCAATAGTGTAACATTAACTTAAGTAGTTAATTCAGTAACTGGGCTAAGGGGGAAAGTGTGTCAGAGACAATAAGACTGGCACAGGATAGACAGGGTTTAGGGTTATTGTACATAGGTTACTATGAGTGAGTCTCAGGTGACTTGACAGCACATAGCAACAACAACAGTATAATACTTAATGAAAATAATTTTCGTCAAGTCCTATAATAAGGAACAGCTTCCCAAGTAGGGTACAGCAAACTTGCATTTCATGTTATGACTACGTTATTACTAGTAAAATCGGGCACTACAATATGATGGGGGGTGGTGAGGGAAATTCAAAGAATCAGGTCTGAAAACAATGTATTTGAATTTTGTAAATTAACTAGTATAAATAAAAAATGTTTTAAAAAATCATGCACAGGTTTTCATCCTGTAGTTCCTGGCATTTTAGGCGTCATCAAAATTGTCCAAATCAAACAAGGTAGCATTGAACTTAAGATATTACCAAAAATTATTGAGCCTGTTTATGTATAAAATCAACCCTGTAGCACTGATGAACTAAATTACACTAATTTAAGTGCTCAGTAATTAATTAGTCCCATAAATGTTTAGTATTAAGAAAAAGCAGCATTTACAAATATATGGTAAAAATCAAACGGCTTCCATTCAAACCTCAGTTCCACATAATAGCTATGTGACTGACCTTGGGCATGTTCTTTAATTTTGTTATACTTTTGCCTTACCTGTAAACAAGAATAGTACCTAAATCCTGAAATATGAAGCCCTTAACATGTGTTAATACACAAAAAGCTCTTAGAATAATGCCTAGTACACACAGTAAATGCACAAGTGTTAACCACTATTAATGACAAAAATATGAGCCAATAGCCAAATAACACATTTGATGTCCTCTAGGAAAGCTAGGCTAATACTGTGGCCCCGAGTTGTGTGGTCTGTAGAAAGAACTTAATTTCTCAGTCTTGAAGTCTTCATTTACAAAATGTTAATGAACTTTTATAGCTGTTTAGATAACAAAATGAAAGATATATACCAGTTGCCAACTATGATAATAAGTAATTTTGCAAAATGAGGTTTTGGTCATACTGGGTCACTAGTAGTGTGTTATCATTATCTGTATGTGGTGTTTTCTCTTACCACACTAAGTCATTGAGTTGATTCCAATTCTTAATAACCCTGTTTAAGAGAACTATGTTCCACAGAGTTTCCAATGGCTGTAGTTACTCTTAAAGGCATGGACTGCCAGATCTTACTTCTGTGACTCTACATGGTGGACTTAAAACTGCCATCTTTCCAGTTAGCAATTTTGTTATAAAGACATGTGCTCACTATACTATTCTCCTCTAGTCTTGATCTATCTCCTACTTGTAAGATTCAGACCAGGTGCCCCAACCCACACTTACGTCTTGGGCAGGTGTTTTCTCTGCTGTCTCCTATTACTGCACTTTATATACAACTTTATTTTTTCTCTATTAGCTACTTGTTGTGTAATTTTACGATAAACCACTGAACTTCTCTGAGTCTCACTTTCCTGGTCTGTGAAATGGTAGTGTAAAGATATGAACTTAGCACTTAGAATAGTAATGTTTAATACACTCGTGTTCCTTTTCTCATTGTCAAATACATAATAGGTAGCCAATAACACTTACTGAGTAAATATATCTAAGAGAAAAGAGGAGCCATGTACATAAAAATCAATGTAGAGCCAGAGGAAAGAGGTCAGTCACTCTTTTGAACGTTGAAGTTAAATCAATAATATCAACATCACAGAGGAGATAAAAGAAATAATTACTTTTGGGAAAGATTGCTTCTCAGGCCAGGAAAAACCTAGCTACAGCCTAATTAGTGATATTAATAACAGGAAGATGGTCAGTATGGGAACAGGAGACTCAAAATAAGAGATAGCAGGAAAGAGACAATGAAACTGGGGACAAGAGAATTTGAGTTAGTTGAGAAGCACTTTGGTAAGGACAGACATGGCTGACCAGCTTCACTATGGCCTGAAACATCTTTCTAGATTCTGAACCTTTGACACTCTAATGCAGGAGCCTCTGGATTCTTACCTTTGTAAGCAAAGTACTTTTCCAATAAAAGAAAAACACTGAAAAATGGATGGAAATATTTTGGGACTGGAGTGACAATGAAAAGTAATTATCCTTTTTAATGGGAGAGCATCCTACTTCTGATTCTGATCATTAATCAGTGGCCAGTCTCCCTCCGTGTGATCCACTCAAGACTGACTTTGCAGATCAGGAAAATGAGAGGCAAAATCTCCAAACGATGACCCATAAACAAAGGAGTTTAGGAACTTTTTGATTAGCACATCATGTCTCCTCCCTAAAAGTCATAAAAAATTCACTTATAAACAACAAAGAGCACTAAAAGAAATAGATTTTTAGTTTTGTTTTATGTCTACTTTTCAGAGAAATAATAGTAACAAAAAAACAAAGGAGATTTAATTAATTGAAATTATTTATTCCTGATATACAGAACATAATTTTAAGGGTCTTCCACATTTTTCAAAGAATGTATCTTAAGACTTTGAAAATGGAATCAGAAATATGGGAAAAAAGTGAAAAAGAAAAAAAAAAGGTGGAAAGAATGCAGAAATAATTTGGTTCCATTTTATTTAAAGTAGATTATTTTAACAACACATGAACTTTTCTGGGAGGAAAACCAGAACGTCCAAAACTTGGCTAGTGTACTTATGACCAGATTTGTCAGCTTGTGTGTTCCACTCTTGGTTCTGCACTACAGTTCAATGGAAAAACACAAAAAAATTTGGTGATAAAGTTTAGAATCTGTATTAGACAGTCCATGATAATTGGGGGAAGGAAAATATGTTTTGGAAAATATACATGGAATTAAGCATCTTTGGAGGAATTCTGGTAAAAAAATGGTCCTCTCTGTTGAAACCTAGAAGAGATCACTCAGCTCCTTCCACTGCTGTTGTGGAAACAGGCTTTACATAGTATGGTCCTTCACTCAGGTAAGTTCTGAGCCTCAAGTAATTTGGGTTCCCAAAGATTTCTGCAATTGTCTTGGAATTGGCGAGCGCTTTTACCAGTTGATATTTGGCATCCTTTGAAGCTTTGTCACGCTCCACAGAGCGGTCCACAATATATTCTAGAAAACCTGGACTGTGAAACATAAGTTTCTGAGCCCAGGGTTGGTTTGCGATGGCCTGAAATGAGAGGCAGAAAGAGCATAATTCCTTTTGAGTCTTAAGAATGCTACCTTATGTCTAAATAAATTCCCTCCTGGGGAATTTAAGAAAACATTCCTAACTATTAAAAAGCTTGGTACAAGAAGGTATTCACCACAGTGTGAAAAATTATAAGCTAAATTTACTTAATTAAAATATTGCAATATTTTACTTAATAAAATGCAACAATTAAAATGGAAATAAACATTAAAAATATTTCCAGAAAGTAGGTAAAGAAATGGGTAATCTACTATATGCAAAATACAGAACCCAAATTATGTACATGCTTGATTACAGCAGCGGAAAAACATAACAAAAATGAGGTAAGAAAATATTACCCTAAATAAACTTCAAAATATATGCATAAGAAAATATTTCTGAGTGTTCATTATAGTACCAATTATACTAGATTCTATCTATGTCTTCATTGGCAGGAGAGTGATAGATTGTGGTATCTATATAATAAAATATTAAAGATCTTCTAATTATATCTTTCAACAGGAATAAATCTTTAAAATATCAGGCTGGAAAGTAAATTGTAGAATGTTATCAACAGCATGATGCCATTTATAAAATTTAAGATTATGTAAAATGTTACATTTTGTTGAAGGGTAGAAACATGTATTGAATCACGTATGGGCTTATAAATTTAGAATACACAATAGTGATTCTATCCAGGAGAAATGTGTATTAGGATTAGGCAGAGGTAAGAAGTACAATTTTCTGTGAAGAATTTTAACTAATCAACCAATCAAGACAAATACTATAAGAAAACATACCAAACAGGGAAGACTTTAGATCTAGATTTCTACCTCTCACTCATTTTCAAATTTTAAAATTATAATTAACTTTTGCAACATAAAAATGTCACCACTACATTTTAATGAAAAAGTAACAATCAAATTTTCAGTCTAGTCCTATCCTCTCAAAATGGATTCACAGACCAGCAGAATAAGCATCACTTAAGGGTCTCTAGTGGTCTATTGGTAGGAATCACTGCAATCCCAAAGGCAAGAAGTTCAAATCCACCAGGTGCTCTGAGGGAGAAAGATGGGCAACCTCCTCCTGTGCCATTCATTGCTTATGAAAACCTGCCGAGGGTCAGCTATGAGTTGGTTCTCACTCCTTGGCATATAATAAACTGAGAAGAGATATATAACCTTTAGCACAACCGTAATTGTATGTGTATCTGTAGAGTTAAAACCATAACTGTAATTGTAGCTGTATATTTACTGTCTGCCTCCCTTATTAGATAGTGAGTTACATGAAAGGAGGGTCTTTGTATCTTGTTCATTGTTCTGTCTCAAGCAGCCAGCACAACAAACAAGCAAGAGACACACAACAATGAGGGCAAAGAATGAGAGCAACATTTCTTGGGTTTGGTTAAGACATGCTACCTGAACTAATCTTAACAAAGTTTAACAAGCAAAGTTAAAGAAGAATGTTGGATAGAGAGATTACAGCAAACTCCAAAGACACAAAACAAGTATTTCTGTGTTAGTAAACCATTAAATGCCAGAGGGAATGGTGGGTAGCAAGGGCTAGGATAGTAACATGACTGGGTCATTAGAGCTGCCTGTATGGTAGATAAGGGATCTGGAACCTACTCTGTGATCTCAGAGTATCCTCCCCAAGTGTCTGGCACAAGATCTAACACCTTTTGGTGAAACGATCTGTTTACACATTTGTCCCCTCATTAGTCTAACAAAGGGCAGACACAGTACTACGCACTTGTGGATTCCCAAGGCTTACACAAGGACTGCTTGTGTTGCGCTGACAGAGGGTCGTATGTTACTTACCGTGAACACTTTTAAGGCAGCACAGCGTAGTTCAGGAAAGGGTTGATTACTGATGCCACGGAGGAGCTCCAATGAGTTATGAGAGAAGGAAGAAAACCAGGACTCTGTCATCCTCAGGAGGTCGTCAGTGTGCTGTTCAGGCTACAAGATAGAGAAGGATTATCTCATGACAAAGCTAACTGCTACGGAGGAAAGGACTCCTTTGGACACTGCACATCAGGAAATCTGGTGCTGGTGGCACTCTTAGTTATCAAGCCTTGTGACCTAAGTCTACAAGCCTGCTTCCTCACACACAGACAAGACTCAGTTCTGTGGTGGGTTTACTGTTAGACGAGTAGTGTTTGGTTGTTGAGTATAATGTTCTATATATGCCTTTTACATCAGGTTGGCTTATAGTGTACTCAGGTCCTCTGTTTCTTTACTGAACTTCTGGTCTACCTATTATTGTAAGGAGTACCCTTAAGTCTCCAAACTGTATTATAGAACTGTCTATTCTTCTTTCAGTTCTCTTACTGTATGTGCCAAAGAACTTCAGGTTTCATTGTCTGATGCATATATTTATAACTGCTCTATCCTACCTCTCCAAATTGAGGAGTAATGATGTCAGTGTGAGGACTAACGTGCATCTGATTCAAGCCAGAGACTTTTCAATTACTTGCTTTGCAACTAAGAGCTGGAAAATGAATAAGGATGACAGAAAAAGAATTGATGCCTTTGAGCTGTGGTACTGGAGAAGAGCACTGAACATCCACGGACGACCAAGAAAACGAACAGGTATGTCTTGGAGAGGATGCAGCCAGAGTGCTCTTTGGAGGCAAGAATGATGAGACTTTGCTTCACATACTTTGGGCATGTTGCTAGGAGGGACTATTCCTTGGAGAAGGACATGATGCTTGGAAGGGTAGAGGGTCATGAAGGAGAGAAAGACCCTCAACCAGATGGACTGACGTGACTGCTGCCACAGGCTCTTGTATGTCAGGAAGTGTGAGGACGGCACAGGATAGAACAGGGTTCAGATCTTTTCTTCAGAGGGTCACTATGAGCCGTACTTGACTGGACGGCACATAACAACAACAATTTTCTTGATGAGTTGACCTTTCAATCATTTTATACTGTCTGTGTCTCTTACGACAGATTTCTATTAAAACTCCACAAACTTAAAAGTCAACTTTATCTGCTATTAATAAAGCCATCCAGCTCTCTTGGATACTATTTGTATGGAGTATGCTGCCCCCACCCCATTCTTTCACTTTCAACAAATTTGTGTTCTGGATCTAGAGTGGGCCTATCAGATACCTGCATCATGCTTTCTTTTCTTATCTGCAAGGTTGAACTTTGGCCATTTTGTTATTTGTTCTATGTGTCTATAGTGGGGTTTTTTGGTCCCTTATTTTCTCCAATTCTGCCTTTGTGTCAGCCTTTGAGGTGTGCTGTTGGGAGAAGATTATAGAACATACCATGAACTGGCAAAGGAAGAGACAAATTTGTATCAGAGGAAGGACAAAGTGCTCCTTAGAGGCAAGGATGAGTGACACTTTGTCTCCTATGGGCATGTTGTCAGGAAAGGCCAATCCTTGGAAGACAGACATGCTAGGAAAGGTGGAGGGTCAGAGATAGAGAGTAAGACCTTCAAAGATGAACTGACATAGTGACTGTAACAATGAGCTTAAGTATATCGGAGATCATGAAGCTGTTACAGGACAGAGAAAGGTTCAGATCTGTTGTTAACAGGGTTGCTATGAGTCATAGTCAAGTCACTGCCTACCTTTGTATTTAGAGTTGGGTTTTGTAATGAATTGGTTTGATTTCCATCTGTTTTTCTCTCATGTGTAATTTTTTATGTTTACAATAGGTAGTGGCATCCATTTCTGTAAATAGCTTGCCTCCAGAAACCCTATGAACTTGGAGCAAAGATGAAAGTCACGCAAGTGTCGAGGACTTTCATTCATAGGGTCGCTATGAGTCGCCTATGACTCGATGGCATTTAACAACAACAACAACAACAACAACAACAGGGATTACATTTAGCATTCTAAATGCTGATACCAACCTCAATAACATACAAAAATTTCTCTATTGCTCCTACTCACTTTTGTATATGTTGTCACATTTTCACATAAATTTATCTTTATTCAAAACACATCTTTTAAGTAATTTATGATATAAGAATAGACTCAGACACCAGAAATACCATAAAATTGGTCTTTTCTCATAAAGTTTCCTTTACTGGAGATTTTCTTCTTTACATGGCTTCAAGTTACCGTGTAATATACTTTCACTTCATCCTGAAGGATTCCCTTTAGCATTTCTTGGAAGGAAGGTCTTCAGATGATAAACTTCCTCAGCTTCGGTATATCTGTGAATGTTTTAACTTTGCCCTCATCAACAAGGTGCTTTTGAAAAACCTTAGTTTCTAAAAAAAACACCTCTGGATTTTTCTTCCAATCTTTATGTCATTATTCTATGAATTAATGGTATTCTTTAGTCACAGACAGCCAGTTTTCTGGTGTTAACAGCCTCTCTACCCCACACAAGCTCTGAGACAGATCTACTTAAGAACACCTGTTCCAGTCCTTTTGGAAACCTCTAGACAAGTTACTACAGACCCACACAGTTATTTGCTAATAAAGTCTGCTCTGCTCTGTCTAGAGCCAGACACGAGACTGTCTTTCTGGGAAGGCAGCTGATTTAAGATGGCTAGGGAGAGGGAAGGGCACAAGGGGACCAAAAAAAAACCAAGTTTTCCTGCCATTTATGTGACCTCTTCCTAGATTTATCATTCACTTAGTTACTGTAACTCTTTGGTTTCTAGAGTTTTGACAAAAATGGTCTGCCAGTTTATAGTTTGAGTTGGTAGTGTGTGGAGACAAAAGGGGGCGCTATTTACAGCATCATCTTGGGTATCCCCAGGTTTTTTTAGCTGATTGATTAAACAATCTCTAGGGTGTTCTCTTGTTCTGATTTTCTTTTTTTAAAAAATTTTTATTTTAACCGTTCCTTAATCATGTTACCAATAATATAAGTGTTATCTTCTTTTATTAGGCGTTAGAAAGATGGCATTAACTTTGTCAGCATTTACATTGTTGTTGTTGTTATGTGCCGTCGAGTCGCTTGCGACTCATAGCGACCCCTATATGTACAACAGCCCTAACCTCTGCTCTGTCCTGTGCCAACTGCACTGTCTCTGACACTCCTACCCCGATTACCCCAGTCACTGAATCAATCCACCTCACAGAAGGCCTTCTCCTCCTGCGCTGTCCCTCCACCCTCCCACTGGTAGCATTATGTTCAATAATATTATGCTGAGTCATTATAGAATTTACCCAAATATCTCCCATTGTTTCTCACTAATTTCCCAATCTACTTACTGGTAAATACAGAAGAGATGAAACTGCATCCAAACATCTAATTTTTAATTCTGTTGACGCATTCTTTGCTTGATGTCCTATTTTCATAAGTGTATGTTCAAAGCGAGTTCCTTTGAAGGAATAACATGAGATTTTAAAAACTGCTTTCATACACTTAGACTCCTATCAACCTAAACCAGCACAGAAATAAGCACGTAGTAACAGAGCAAGCGACAGGCTCAAATATACATTCATATGTACACAGTATATACAAGGCAAAGTGTATAGGATATGGCATCAAAAGAACTGGGAGGAGTTGACTTGGTGCTACACTGGCTAAATGCTTGGCTGCTAACCCTAAAAGTCAGCAATCTGTATCCATAACAGTTCTGTGAGAGAAAAGACTTTTTAATCCATTCTACTATAGGTCAGGAAACCCTATGAAGAAGCTCGAATTTGTCTTACATGCTCATGACATGTGTGAACGGACTTGAGAGCACACAGCAACACTCTAGAGCTTTTAAAGATTTCCCCAATAACATGCTCTTTTCAAGACTGTAAAAGAGTCATGTCATAGTTAAAAACACTTAGAAAGTACACATAACTAGAAGGATATAAGCTGTTAAACACAACAGCAGAGTGATTTTAAAAATACTCTTTCCAAGAGTTTTAAAATAATAAGTGTATATTAACTTTTGTGGAGAATTTGTAGTGCTTTTAAGATTTTACCAAAAGTATCACTAAAAGCATCATTCTTAATATAAAACACAGGGATGAACTTTTCTGTTTATTTTTCTTTCGTACATTCTTTGTTGTTGTTAAGTACCATTGAGTAAGCTTTTAGAGGCAGTAAAACGCTTGGGAGGAGACTTGCCCATGTTTCTCCATGGTGCTGTTGGTGGATTTGAATCTTGTGCCTTTGGATTGACAACACAGCTCTTTACCACTAGACTACCAGAGCTCTCTAACCTCATACATTATCAATCCAAACAAATATATTTTTATGTTATTCACAAAATTCCCAAGATTTAATTGTTATACGCTTTTACAATGAGCCTTGGAGAAATGAGGTGATTAAATCAAGGCCATAAATCCAAGACATTAAAGCATGCTAGGCTTTTCTGACTCCAGAGTCCATGGTCTTTAGGATATGAATTCTTTTCAAGGTACATGTGGAGGGAAAATAGTATTTGATCCTGTCAGCGTGATGGGTAGGACCTAAATAGTAAGAAACAAATAGAATGGCTGTCAACAGTAATCATAAGAGACTGTTTTTATGGATGAGTTTACCCAGGGTATTGTTAAAAAGACTGCCACTTATAGAAGCAATTACATTCTAAAATGGGGTTAACCCATTAACAAATGAATTTATATATTGAATCTCTACCAAAAATTAGGGTATTCTTTTTTTAAAAAAA